ATGCATCAGTTTGTCTGTACTCATAGTAGATTTTGTGGTGTAAACACAGCCATATTTTTCAATTCCCTTTGATGAACCTTAAATAATGTACAAAATGTATGTAGGGTCTAGTATATCAGTCCAGGGATAGTTCCAGGAAAGGGGTGGTACAAACATATGTTGAAAAAAGTAAAAACATTACCGAGCTTAAGGAGCTGAAAAATTACCCCCTCGGCTCCACCTCAGCCTCTGCATAAAATCAAATATGCAGATAAATTAATAAATAAATAATAAATACATGTAAGCTTTATTTACATGATTTAGAGTCGGCATAGTATACAAACAAGGACATAACATAAGCTCTAATGAGCTTTTAACCGACATACAAGACATACAAGACATAACAATTCAACACACAATACACACACAATAAATTACACAGCACAAAATGAAGCACTAAAAGCATGGTGGTAATAAGCAGAATATAAGCATGTTAAGCTAGGTATTAAAGCTAAAAGCATACTAGGTATTAAAGCTAAAAGTATATAAAATGTAAACTAAGCACGATTAGAAAGCTGGTAAAATGCATAGCATAAAATTTTAAAACAAAAAGGATATGATCTAGACATGCTAGATGGTAAAATTTAATATAATATATTAATTAATAATCTGCACAAACTGTGCACTTACAGTCATTTCCATTCCATGACTTTAAAATATTTTTAAACTGACTAAAATTAGCAATTTTTCTAAAATCATCAGGTAGATCATTCCATAAAACAGCAGCTGTATATTTAAAAGAGTTCTTACCTTAGGTTGATGTTCTAACCCTAGGTATATCTACAATATTAGAATATCTAAAATTATATTTACAATCTTTCAATACAACTAAATTGTGTAAACAAGGTGGTGACAATTTATATAAAATTTTAAAACATTCAATAGCCATGTTACACATACGTCTAATTTTCAGTGAAGCTACCTTTGCTGGTATAAGTAATTCATCATATGATCATTGTGATCAGAAACTTCTGTCTGTCCACTCTAGTTTTTATACGCCCGTCAATTTTTTGATTATGGTATACAAATGTGCGGTGTCCGTCCGTCTGTCTGTCCGGCGTAAACATGTCGCACCGTAACTTGAGAATGACTTATCCAAATTTCATGAAACTTAACATAGTTGTTTCTTATGATGGTCAAATGATCTGTATACTTTTTGGTGAAAATAAGATTAAAACTTTTTGAGTTACGGGACTTAGTAACTAAAACAGGTGTGTGTTTTTTTTCACATGTCGCGCCGTATCTCAAAAACAATTTATGATTATTGCTTAAAACTTTACACACTTCTTAGTTATATTAATCTTAAGATCTGTATACTTTTTGGTGATGATTCAAAATTTTATTTTAGATATATTGAGTATTTTGTTAAAAAAAGGGGGAGGGGTTTTTCTCATGTCGTGCCGTATCTCAAAAACAGTTTATGATTATTGCTTAAAACTTTACACACTTCTTAGTTATATTAACCTTAAGATCTGTATACTTTTTGGTGATGATTCAAAATTTTATTTTTGAGTTATTGAGTATTTTGTAAAAAAAGGGGGAGGGGTTTTTCACATGTCGCGCCGTATCTCAAAAACGATTTATGATTATTGCTTAAAATTTTACACACTTCTTAGTTATGTTAATCTAAAGATCTGTATACTTTTTCATTTTGATTCAAAATTTTATTTTAGAGATATTGAGTTTTTTGCATGTCACGCCGTATGTCAGAAACTATTTATGCTTATAATTATTGCATAAAAATTCACACACAAGACGACGGGCGTATCATGCCCTCATGGCGCAGCTGTATATTGATAGCTACATGTATTGAATGAAGATTTCTATAAAGTTGTGTCTGCTGCTGTCACATATTTTTCCTGGTATTTCAAGAGGGTATAATATTGGCCCATATGCATGTACCAAACATCCTCTATCCCTTTTTTAGCTCACCTGGCCCGAAGGGCCAAGTGAGCTTTTCTCATCACTTCGCATCCGTCGTCGTCGTTAACTTTTTACATTTTGAACTTCTTCTAGAGAACCACTGAATGGAATGAAACCAAACATGGCATGAATGTTCCTTATGAGGTGCTGACCAAGTGTTGTTACTTTGTAGCCGATCCATCATCCAAGATGGCCGCCAGCGGGGGACTTAGTTTAACATAGGACCCTTTGGGAAATGCATACAAATGACTTCTTTTAGAAAACCATTGAATGGAATGAAACCAAACATAGCATGAATGTTCCTTATGAGGTGCTGACCATGTGTTGTTACTTTGTAGCCGATCCATCATCCAAGATGGCCGCCAGCGGGGAACTTAGTTTAACATAGGACCATATGGGAAATACATACAAATGTCTTCTTTTAGAGAACCACTGAATGGACTGAAACCAAACATGGCATGAATGTTCCTTATGAGGTGCTGACCAAGTGTTGTTACTTTGTAGCCGATCCATCATCCAAGATGGCCCCCAGCGGGGGACTTAGTTTAACATAGGACCCTATGGGAAATACATAAAAATGTCTTCTTTTTAGAGATGGAACCAAACATGGCATGAATGTTCCTTATGAGATGCTGACCAAGTGTTGTTACTTTGCAGTTGATCCATCATCCAAGATGGCCACCAGCGGGGGACTTAGTTTAACATAGGACCCTATTGGAAATACATACAAAATGTCTTCTTTTAGAGAACCACTGAATGGAATGGAACCAAACATGGCATGAATGTTCCTATGAGGTGTTGACCAAGTGTTGTTTCTTTGCAGCCGATCCATCATCCAAGATGGCCGCCAGCGGGGGACTTAGTTTAACATAGGACCCTATGGGAAATACATACAAATGTCTTCTTTTAGAGAACCACTGAATGGAATGAAACCAAACATAGCATGAATGTTCCCTATGAGGTGCTGACCAAGTGTTGTTACTTTGTAGCCGATCCATCATCCAAGATGGCCACCAGAGGGGGACTAAGTTTAACATAGGACCCTATGGGAAATACATACAAATGTCTTCTTTTAGAGAACCACTGAATGGAATGAAACCAAACATGGCATGAATGTTCCTTATGAGGTGCTGACCAAGTGTTGTTACTTTGTAGCCGATCCATCATCCAAGATGGCCGCCAGCGGGGGACTTAGTTTAACATAGGACCCTATGGGAAATACATACAAATGTCTTCTTTTAGAGAACCACTGAATGGAATGAAACCAAACATGGCATGAATGTTCCTAATGAGGTGCTGACCAAGTGTTGTTACTTTGCAGTCGGTCCATTATCCAAGATGGCCGACAGCGGGGGACTTAGTTTAACATAGGACCCTATGGGAAATACATACAAATGTCTTCTTTTAGAGAACCACTGAATGGAATGAAACCAAACATGGCATGAATGTTCCTTATGAAGTGCTGACTAAGTGTTGTTACTTTGCAGTCGATCCATCATCCAAGATGGCTGCTTAGGGGGGGGGGGGGCTTAGTTTAACATAGGACCCTATGGGAAATACATACAAATGTCTTCTTTTAGAGTACCACTGAATGGAATGAAACCAAACATGGCATGAATGTTCCTTATGAGGTGCTGACCAAGTGTTGCTACTTTGTTGCCGATTTACTGTTCAAGATGGCCACCAGGATATTTTATTAAATAACGGGACCAATATTAATCCAAATTTGGCCTCAATCATTATTTGGGTATCTGTTATGATTTTTATCTATCTTTTCATGATTTCTAAAACCAAAGTAGAGTCAAGTGAGCAACACAGGCTCTTGAGAGCCTCTAGTATTGTTGAGCCTGCAAAATTTATTTGGCAAAAGGGAGACAAAGTGATCCTAGATTCTGACGTAGGTGTTGGGGTCAGACGCGTCAACATTTAGGTTCAGTCTACAAATGTATGGTTAAAGTTTTTTTAGTCATCAATAACTTTGTCAAACCTACAAGGAATTTTATGCAATTTGGACAGAAGCTTGTTTATGACCAAAATACTGCATCCAGAGCAAAATTTTGAAAATATTTATTTTCAGTTTTCCGTATTTTACTAATAAATGGACTTAGTTTTTTTTGACAGTTAACACTCATTTAGTCTGAGGTTAAAAGTTTTTCAGTCATCAATAACTTTGTCAAACCTTCATGGATTTTTATGAAATTTGGACAGAAGCTTGTTTATGTGCAAAAGACAGTATCCAGAGCAAAATTTTGAAAATATTTATTTTCATTTTCTGTATTTAACTGATAAATGGACTTAGTTTTTTTTACAGTTAACATGGTTAACACTCAGGCTCAGTCTGAGGTTAAAGTTTTTCAGTCATCAATAACTTTGTCAAACCTTTATGGAAATTCATGAAATTTGGACAGAAGCTTGCATTGTTTATGACCAGAATACAGTATCCAGTATTCTGTATTTTTACTGATAAATGAACTTTAGTTTTTTTATAGTTAACAAGTACATGTAGATACAGTCTGGGGTTAAAGTTTGTTACACTTCAAGTACTTTGTCGACCTTCATAGAGTTTTATGAAACTTTTGCAGAAGCTTTTTAATGATTATAAGAGATAATGTCTGAAGCAAACCTTTGAAGATATATTTTTTTCATTTTTACCCGGTAGTATTTTTCTGATAGATGGACCATTTACATTTACAGACAGTCTGGGATTAAATTTATTTGACATGATAAATTTGCAAACCTTCATGGATTGTTATGAAACTAGGACATAAGCTAATCTTTAAGACCAAAAAATAGCATCTCAAAAAAAGTTTGAATTTTTTTTAAATTCTGTATTTTACTGATAAATGGACTCACTTTTTAAGTCAACATTACACTTTAACACTGACAGCAGCAATCGCAGGCAAGACACAGGGTTCCGCGGAACTCCTTACATATTTTATATTGTAAAATTGTTTTAATATGCTGAAAATCATTTCAAATAAAGTATTTATTATTATTATATGTATATTAATATCAAAATTATATTTCTGTATTTTCAGCCAATGTTACACAGATTGATGTAGGGTTTAATGGTCCTCCACCTCAAGGTAAGCAAATAGGAATATACTGTCATACTCTAGCTCTGGACACATACATTTTTTACTTGAGGTCGGTTTCATGTCATTCTGGTCCCAAGTCTATTCCGGCCTAAGTTGTTCCAGCCACAGTCAATCTATCCATCCATGTGCCTTGTACATTGTTGTTAGCACAACTTCTCCTAAATGGCTAGACAGATGTTGATAAAACTTTTCATAGTTGTAGTATACAACACTACACGTACATTTGTACCCGAGGATTTGCATAAAGGAATATAATCCTGGTCCAAAATTTGAACAGGGGTTTTCTTTTCCTACCCAATAAACATCTTGTATTTATCATTGTTTATGTAAAGATTTACATTATTTGTTGTTAATCATAACCCTGTTGCAATAGACCCCAACTTTTTTGGTTGAAAGAATAATCTATAATTTTTCTTTTAAACAAAGTAGGTCTGTCATTTTAAAGTATTTTGTATGCATTTTGTCATAAATTTTAGAGAGAAATTATTTTTCAATCTCCATTTAACATAAAATTTAGGCACATTTAAAGAAATACCTTCAAATGGCTTCAATATCATTCTGGATTAATAATATATATTATTGAGCCTATTTTTTGGCCACTTTTGTCAGAAAAAAAAACATTCAGTGTCTGCCGACAGCCCAGATCTTGTATAAGAATATTCAGAAGTGTTACCTTTGTATTGATCTGAATTTTTCACTTGGATTAAAAAAAGAGAATTGTATTGCTTTTTACCTGATATAAAATATTTCTGTATCAGATGTTTCCATTTAATCAAGATAATCAGCTGACAATCTTTCTTTATGATGTTGAGCATTCATTGATTGTGACACACCCTTAAAGATGAATTTGAAAAGCTCACATACATACAGTAAGTTGTATTACTTAAAATTGACTTTAGATTTAGGACCATTCACATTCTTGTAATATTGGCCACTGGATGTAGAAACAACAAAATCCTAAAAATATGTTTATACATATATGCCTTAAGACAATCTTGACAGTAGGATAGTTAAGAGAATATTCCTTCTGATCATTTAAACACATGCATTAGCAGGTTTTATACTAGAAATCAGGTTAATGAACTTTTTATGCCCCTGCCATAGCGGAGGGGGCATTAAGTTTTACCCTTGTCTGTCTGTACGTACTTACTTACGTACCTACGTATGTCCAAAAATTGGTTTACTTTCTTTTACTTTCGTTTTCTTAACCAAATGTTATGAAACTTATACACAATGGTTATTACCTCAAAAAACAGATCAAGTTTGAATATTGGTGGCGTCACTTTTACAGTTCTAGATCTAGAGTTATGCCCCTTTACAAATGAAAAAAATCCTGAAATATTTGTTTCTGTTCTCTAACTTTAGTTTGCCTCAATCAAATGTAATGAAACTTATGCACAATGCTTATTACCATAAAACTCAGATCAAGTACAAATTTGGGTAGTGTCACTTTTACAGTTCTTGAGTTATATCCCTTTATAACAATATATGCAAGCAGAGGCATCATCTGTGTCCCATGGACACATTCCCCATTTATTTTCATTGAAATTAATACCACCGGAACAGTTTGAGTTTTTATGATTTGATAAGGTTTGGAAGACAATAATGTTTGATGCTTATAATTCAATATCTAGAGAGATACTCAAGGTGACTGAATTGGCTAATATTTGTTTGTTTGAAATACATTTTAAAAGCTGATCTCAAAATCCCGCTTAGATTAAGATTAACAACAATTTTTACAATTTTAAGTTTCATCTACTGGTATATAAGCAAAGAAATTTTTGAAAAAAGTCAGACTTTTGAGGTTTTTATTTTTGACTCTTTGACAAACCAAGTCTGAAATATTGTCTTTAAATCAAAGAATGTTGACAAGTGGAAGTTTTTATGACAAACATGATGACAAGTTTCCAAATGAATTTTCTTGTAGAGAGTAGCAACATACCATTAGTTTATGCATTTGGTATATTCATTCACGATGATTGTTCATGCTTCACAATAGCGTTGTCCACTGAATTAACTTCCTATAGAAAGCTCAATCTAATCAGTGTCACAATGGTTTAACTGCTTGTTGAGATTATTACTTCAGGCTAAACATCAATACAAAAGTTTTAATTACATGTACGTCCACCATCACAGTCATGATGTTATTAGGTGACTGTGTCAGATATCACTGTAGACTTGTTTACCTTAAATTCTTTTAAGTGCTTCATGTTTTAGTGATTTGACTGATTTTAACTCATACCCAATTTTACTAATTACTAGTTTTGACCACAATGCAAAAATGGTGTAAGCAGTGATCTAAATACAGCATTTAAATACCAATGCAAGATAACCTGAAGTTACATTTTTATGCCCCACCTATGATAGTAGAGGGGCATTATGTTTTTCGGTCTGTGCATCTGTTCTTTCCTCAGTCCGTCCGTCTGTCCCGCTTCAAGTTTTTGTTTTTGGTCAAGGTAGTTTTTGATGAAGTTGAAGTCTTATCAACATGAAACTTAATACACATGTTCCCTTTGATATGATATTTCTAATTTTAATGCCAAATTAGAGTTTTGACCCCAATTTCACGGTCCACTGAACATAGAAAATGATAGTGTCAGTGGGGCATCCAGTTCTATGGACACATTCTTGTTTCACCCTGATTCTATTTGAAAGGAATTTCTCTAAATGTCTTTTCTTGGTTGTCTCTGTACCTACCTGTATGCTGCCTTTGAAAAGGTTTAGTTTTTTTTGTACTTAAAGAAGAAAATAGAATGTAGGGGTTTAATCTAAATGCAATCCACTTATGATGATTTTTTATGCCCCTGCCGTAGTGGCGGGGGCATAAAGTTTTACCCTTGTCCGTCTGTACGTACGTACGTCCCAAAGTTGGTTTCCGTTCTCTAACTTTAGTTTGCCTCAACCAAATGTTACTAAACTTATACACAATGCTTATTACCACATAATACAGATCAAGTTCGAAATTGGGTGAAGTCACTTTTGCCGTTCTTGAGTTATGCCCCTTTATAAACATAAAAAATTCTGAATTTTTGGTTTCCGTTCTCTAACTTTAGTTTGCCTCAACCAAATAGTATGAAACTTATACACAATGCTTATTACCACATAATGCAGATCAAGTTTGAAATTGGATGGCGTCACTTTTACCGTTCTTAAGTTATGCCCCTTTTTAAACATAAAAATTGCTGAATTTTTGGTTTCAGTTCTCTTAAGTTTGCCTCAAATAAATATTATGAAACTTATACACTATGCTTATTACCACAAAATACAGATCAAGTTTGAATTTTGTTGGTGTCACTTTTACCTTTCTAGAGTTATGCCTGTTTACTTACCCTTCTAGAGTTCTGCTTGTTTACAAATGGAAAAATTGTTGAATTTTTCATTTCTGTTCTTTTTCTAAAGTTAGCCTCAATCAAATGTTATGAGACTTATACACAATAATTATTACCGCAAAACTCTGATCAAGTACAAATTTGGGTAGCATCAATTTTACCATTCTTCAGTTATGTCCCTTTATAACTTTATATGATATGCAAGCGGGGGCATCATCTGTGTCCCATGGACACATTCCCTATTTATCTTTGTACACTTAAGAATTAGAGGGAAAATAACACTGAAGTAAATAAAAAAAGTTAATCTCAATAATTCACTTTAATTTACTGACTTGTACATGTTCATAATCATTATTTAGGAATCTATCGGATAGAGGTAAGAGGTTAGTATTTGTTTTACTTGTTTATACATGTACATTCATTCAATGTTCATTTTGAAGGAATTTAATTCAGATAAGTTTTGTTTCTGAAGAGCAAATTAGGCAGCTACAGGACAAAATTCTAGATTATTAAATAATAGAGGTTATGGTCAGTTGTGGCAATTTTAGCAAAACATAACAAAATTTGATTGTCCAAATCAAATCTTGTATTTCTTGTATAAATCTTTTTTGGAAAAGTTTTGGTATAGATGTATTAGTGGGATGACTAAGTAATTTTAAGTTACATAATTATATTAAAAAAATGTTTTGTTATTTTTTATCTTGCAAGTTGCAAAAATGGAGTAGGTATATATGAGGAGAGCCGCTGTTTGGCCCCTAAAAGATGAAAAAAAAATAGTAAACATTTTCAAGCCATTCAAAGTTGTGGTAATTCTATTGATAAATAACCCAGTTGCTTTAATCTTGAAACTCTATGTGACTGTCATACAAATAAGAGGTTACGCTAGCTATAAAACCAGGTTCAATCCACCATTTTCTTCATGAGGAAATGCCTGTACAAAGTCAGGAATATGACATTTGTTTTCCATTCGTTTGATGTGTTTGATTTGCCATTTGAGAAGGGACTTTCCATTTTGAATTTTCCTTGGAGTTTGGTATTTTTTTTATTATACTTTATAGTGTAGAAAGATCACTTTTGATTTTGCTATGACATCAACATGTCCAACTTTATGTATTTGATTTAAAATGGCCATTTCACACTTGATTTGGTTAAAATATAAATGAGCCAGAGCTTTAATCAAAAAAGATGTTTTACCCACATAAACATCTTTATAAAATACATTCTGTAGCAAAATATCTTTTAGGGTAAAGCTCTTGCTCATATCCAAATATTAATGACAAGATCTTAAAATGAGGCTATTTTGGCACAATTTTCTGTTTTGCACTAAATGTAAGAAGTTTGAAGCCCTAATTCAAATATGCAAGACAAAACAAAAAAATATTTATACTGATGTCTGATAGACTAATGTCTTATAAGCATCTGAAGGATATTATTTGGTCGATTTATATTACTTTTTGATTTTCAAATTCAAGGAGCCAAAAAATATTGCCTTATCATACCTTTAGCCTTCATAAATTTATTTTTTAGCAAGTGTAGTTGAGAATAAATCTCTCTAAATTATTCTAGGAAGAACTCTTCCTTCTGTAAATATTAATCAATTAAAAGTAAAGATTCAAAAATATTTGTTTTTAGGGGAAGTAATTCTTCAAAAATTCAGATTATTATAATATCAAAGTGTTACAGAAAGAAAAGCTTAAAATGAGAGGATGAATATCAGGTCCAAATTGTAAATGTAGTGAGATTTCTATATGACAGTGTTTCCTATACCATACAAAGATCTCCTTATGTTTTCAATATTGTAAAATGATTAATCAAATTAAAACCTCCCTCTCATTGATTCCCATTGATGAAAGCTGAAAGTTAAAGTTGCATCTGAAGAATTTCACAGGTGAGAACAGAATCCAAGTGTTGAATGAAGATTATCATGTGTAAAATACTTTTAATGCAGTCAACCAATTTTTATTGTGAAATATATCCAAGTTTATAAAGAAATGATTGAATACCTGGTTACCAATATATAGAGATAACACAGTCAAACTGTGCCCATATCAGTTGGAATGTCAAATTGAAAGTGGGTTTGTAAATTTATAAACAAAGTAAACTTGTCTGTGTATATATACTTGTGCTAAATGTGCTAAGTAGGTGCTGTGTAAAGATGTGGACAAGCTTCAAACATTTCATGACATTTTCAACCTCATGATAAATAAAGGTTGTAGTCAATGTAAGTGGGAATAAGATGTGAGAATGTCAAGTAAGTTTCATATTTTACTACCAGTAATCAATTGTATTTGTCTAGGTTGTTGCTTTATTTTAAGATTTGTTTTTTTTCAAGTGATTCTGTTCATCATGTTCATTCTTATCTAAGCATGATAGTTCTTATTGATTTTATGATTATAACCATAACTCAAGGATGGACACACATTTCTTATTGATAATATAAGCCTTTCAAGTTATATGTCCAGTTTACTTTAATTGAAATGTGAATTGAAATACAGATTCAATACCTGTAGAAGAAATTTTGTGTTACATTAGAAAAAAAATGTATTGCCATTATTGCTAATTCATGTATTTTGCATGAATTTTAGAGGAATATAACATGAGTCTGTACCATGTATATAAAAATAAGGAGATGTGGTTTGATTGCCAATGAGAAAACTGTCCACCAGATGTGCATGCATTAATGTAAAAAGTCATTGTTATTATATGTAATGTCAGACCACCAGTTTCAAAACTGTGCTCTATCAATTCTAGATTTATGAGTGGGTTTGGTTATCATTGGGTTTTGTTTACATCTTTTTTTAATATGATTTTATTATAATTTATTGTCAAACACTTGGTTCTAATAAACACCTTACTGTTCATTCCTTAGTAATGTATTGCTTCTGCTTTAACACTGTAAATAATTTAAAAACTGATGTATCTTTTATAATGTAGGTGACAGTTTTGTGTCCTGTCGCTATACAAAACAAATAAATTCTTTGTTTAAAAAATATGAAAGGGAGATTTATCATATATACCCAATATTGCAATAATACTGAAAAAGGACCATATCATGAAACCTGGATTAATATAGAACTATATTTAGAATAATACTTCCTGAGATTCCAGTATAAACAGTTTATTGGTTGCCAAAACATACACTGTACTATAGATTATTTTTTATCTCTCTTAACACAACTTAATCTAGATACATACATGATATATATATAGATACATCAAGTGATAACATGGAAATTTGATAAAAAAATCACACATATCAATATACATGAAAGCACCTGCTAACACAGATTTACATTTTATTTGCTTTTGTAACGAATAAATTAAATAGTATATACTAGTGTTAATCAGATATGGCTGCACTGTGAAATATACATGTAATGTATTCATGGTCTACAACTGCATAAGTTTGGTTATCAGTCTGGATTTTAGGTCTAAAATCTGTGTTATTTATCAATTGATTGTATTCCATGCAAAGTTGAAAGAACTAGATAATGAAAAGAATGGGAGGAGTTAACACAACTTTTCCTAAAATAAATATAATGGATTAAAATCTCATAAGGGTACTAATAAGAAAGCTGCTTTAAATCAACTAATTTTTGCAAGGGATTTATTTTCGCAAGTAGAAAATTATTGAATATAAATCATTGCTAATATGAACACTTTCCCCTATATAAATACATCAATAAAGTTAGAAAAGGGTGGCAATAAATCACTGCAAGGTTGGCTGAAAAGTTGGTTTCTGATATTTGTCAATTATCAATACACAAATATATTCAACAATGGACATTATGGACTGCTATCCATGCAAAGCATGTAAAGTTGAAAGTGGTATATAGGCATGATAATCAATTTTATGATGAAAAACAACAATTGACATCAAAAGTTTATAGCTTATCAAGTGATAAAATGATTGAGAAATTTCAGAATAACACACATTACCCACAGATAAATTTTATTGCTGCTAGCTCTTCATTGTCAAAAAGATCTTATGTCCCTCCTATTAAAGGGAAACAGCTAAAAAAAATGGATCTCTAATTACAGATCTAGAATCAATTATACATAATATAAAAATAAGGAGATGTGGTATGATTGCCAATGAGACAACTATGACCAAATTAATTCATTACAGTATTGGCAAATAGATTATTACTGATTTGATAATCAGAACAGATGGAAGGTTTTTTTTTTAAATGTCATATATAAGTACAATATGGTATAGTGTTTGTAACAGTATAAATGATTAGAATGTCTAAGTACAAGCATACAGGTATTCCTGCCTGTACATCTATCACCACCCATTTCATTCATGTATTCATTGTATATATGTATTAATTTTAGGACTCTTTTGTGAAAAATTAAGTAATAGAATTAATATTCTATTGCCTTGATAAACATTGTTTCAGAAACTCACCTTTCTCTTTATGATCAATGCAATATGTCAGTTTGTACAAAGGCCTCATCATTGAATTGAGAGTAGACTTCATTCAAAAGTTGAATATGAATGTTATTTCTGTGCTAGAGTTTGTATTTTGTAGATTTGGCATTTTATAATAATTTTAATCATACTTGTCTACATTGCTGTTACCAAAATGGTTGTCCTAGGTATCATTTTAGTGGAATTTTGTGCCACTGTCATACAAGTGAGAGGTTTAGCTAGCTATAAAACCAGGTTTAATCCACCATTTTCTAGATAGAAAATGCCTGTACCAAGTCAGGAATATGACAGTTGTATTCCATTCGTTTGATGTATTTGAGCTTTTGATTTTGCCATTTACTTAGGGACTTTCTGTTTAGAATTTTCCTCGGAGTTCGGTATTTTTGTAATTTTACTTTTTTATAGGTGGCATTCTTGTGTATAGATGCCTACATGCCAAGTTTACTTTAAAAGTGATATCGAGAAGCTAAAAAAAAACTTCAATTGTGAGAAATTGAGAATGAAATTCATTTAGTTACAACATCTACATTTTATTTTAGAGGTGACTCCATCCACTCAACCACTTTATCCAAATCCTCATGACCAGACAGAAGTGCCCATGCCACCACCAGCACCCATTGGATTTGAAGGTCAAAGTAAGTATATTGTACTCTGCTCTGATTTTGAGGATAGACAGACATCTCCTTTTGTCATCACCATCACCCACTTAATTGTCAGATACATCATAGGGCTCTCAACCCAATCATTTGTTTTTTTTGTCTTTGAATTTAACCTTTTGTGTATTGCACATGAATATATCACATTACTAACTATTGCCTTTTTCAACTGATTTTAACATTTGGTTCTTATGTTGTGCTGCTACACCACTGTCCCAAGTAAGGGGAGGGTTGAGAGCTCATAAACATTTTTAACCCTGCCACATTCTGTATGTGCTTCTCCAATGTCAGGAGCCTGTAATTCAGTGGCTGTTGTTGGTTGCTGTCTATCATTTTTGTTTTTCGTGTTTTTGATTTGTACATAAATGAGGCCTTTGGTTTTCTTGTATGAACTGTTTAACATTTTGTCATGTCTGCCTAGGGGTGGCCTTTTATAGCTTACTATAAGGTATGTGTTTTTCTCATTGTTGAAGATTGTACAGTGACCTATATTTGCTTACATCTACACATTTGGTCTCTGGTGGATAGTTTTCTCATTGGCAATTATACCACTTCTTATTAGAATTATAGAATAAATATGCAGTCTCATTATATAACAAGAGGAGGTAAGGTATGAGCCCTTTTTTTTCGCCCTGAAATTGCAAAAATTGTAAAATTATTCCTTCCTTTTAAACAAAAATTAATTCTACTGGTAATTGAATATGGTGATATATTCTGGAAAATTCAATTCACTATGATGTCATAAACTCGTATTTGATTAAAAAGGCTATTTTACATACTGTTTTTAGTAAAATTAGTATATATGAACCTAGGCCTTTCCCAAAAATATATTTTACCCACATTAGCATCTCTGTATAAGACATTTTTCTTTTAGCAACATAAATATTTGGGTAAAGCCTTGGTCCATACCTAAATATTTATAAAAACTTCACAAGAACTCAAAATAAGGCAGATTTTTCAGTTTTGCACAAAATGTAAGAAATTTAAAGCCCACACAATTTAAAAAATATTATAATATTACTGATTACCGACAGACCAATACCATGCTGTCCTATACAGTATACACTGTTATCTCAGCAGCTGTACATTGGAGTCAAACAGCTTGTCCTGTCCTGCCATGAAATATTTGCCACTGGACATTAAGCAAAATGACAATCTATAGTTTAACACCTTAATGAACAGTGGGAAATCTAGAGAAAAAGAACAAAAGAAAATTACCTCTTCTTATGATAGAGTTGAGAAAATCAATAATAAAACAATGCCGTTGACGACACTGATCAAAAGTTATTTCTTAATAACAATTGTTTAAAGAAATTATTAGTTAAACTGTGTTATTAGAAATATACATGCAAATACACGATGTTTTATGTTCAGTATTTATCGAGATAATGGCATTAGAAACCATACAAAATCTAAACATCTTCTGGTCACCAATTTTTGGAGTGGTTCACATTCTAAGTTTTCGAGGACACAGGTCTGCTCTTGTTACATGAAAATTCAATATAGAAATTTTGTCTTTTCATGAATATAACAATATAAAAGTCTGTCTGTGCAGGTTAAAAAATTAAAGATAAATATTCTTATAAAGTAGGCTTCTTTTTACTTTTTTTATACAATTTTAAGAAAAGGTTGTCTCGATTTTGTACAAAAACTATTCACATTCAATGTTTACATCGGGATATGGTCCATTTGAATTTGCTTAGTAACTTAATATCAAAAGTGCCAATCTTTGCTGCATATCAATCGATTCCTTTGGAATTTTTTCCCCAGACTTTCTCTGATCTAGCTGCATATATATGCGGATAATAAGCATGTTCTCTATGATATGATCTTTCTTATTTTAATGCCAAATTAGAGTTTTTACCCCAATTTCACGATCCACTGAACAAAGGAAATGATAGTTCGAATGGGGTATGGACACATTCTTGTTTCAACTTATTTCTATTTTTACTATTTACCAGAACGTTTTCCTGTGAATTTATAATTGATAGTGTCCTTGCTAAAATGGGACAAACATTGAAAAGATCTAGATTTTAGTGTTTACAGGGGAGGTAATATTTTGTCACTAGATTTGCCACTGACTAGTGATAAGTAACAATCTTATTCATTGTCAAAGTGAATAAGTTCAATATTCCTAAGGCATTTTTTCCCTTCAATCAGTTTAAATGTACTGTAAATGTTCTATTTAAATATTTGGGTCTAACTAAGGAGCTTTGATATCCCTAAATATTATTGATATGCTTTTATATTTTGGTTCTGTAGAGGGAATTTTTTTTAAACATTAACCATACTTGAACAGATTTAATTGAAATAAACAAAACATAAAAAATGCTTACAGCTACATTTGTAAATATTGTTAATATGTAAAGAGGGGCAGGTAGATAAAAGTTTATAAATAATGCCCACGCTAAAATAAACTATTTGACAACATTCCAGTGTTCATTTCTTTATCTCAAAATGTTTGAAATTAATAACAAACATAAAAAAAATGATTGATTTGAAATATTATTATTATATGTGTATGTTGATCTGTAGTTAAATAGATATAATAACAATGTCAGGAGGTTATATGCTTGGTGAGTACCTAGATTTCATATTCATATATATCCCATTATTGAGCAGCTTTTGAAAGTTTTATTTATTATCAAGTTTGAAAATGGCAACTAGAGGAAAAAAAATGTTGAGGTCAGTATTACATGTTTTTTTTCTAATTACCGGTATAGTGTCTGGCTTTTTTCATTTAAGCCCAAATTCTAATGGTTTTTAATTACAATTTAAAAAAACTCAAAACTGCTGGTTTATTTCTCATCTACAAAACTTATAGCATATAATATAAATGTTCAAAACCCAGTATTCAGCTATATTCTGTACATTATAGTTGATATACTTAATTGTTAAAATAAACACTCGATGTGAAGTTATTTAAAGATATAATACTGCATACCAACATTAAGATGAGCATAGAGCATGACACATTGAATCATTTCTATTCTAAATAGGACAAATACTGAAATATTGAAGCTGAGGAATTTTTTAATGATCCCTTTTCAGTCACTTTAACTTGTATATGTTAAATCTTTCATCATTTAATTTGCATATGCCCTTGAAAAACTAAAAAAAAAGTCAAAGTGTAGAAGTTTAACTGTCCTAAAGACATGAACTTGTTTTGTTTCTATTAAAAGTTTTTATGGCAGTTGAATGATGTTATGGACATTTTGTTTCTTTTCCAGTGACAGATTCCAATGGACCGAATGGTACTGCAGAGGCTGATGAATATAAAGCTAACCAACAGGTAAACCATAATTATATATTAAGCAAGCTAGAAGTACTGTTAATTCAGAAATTTTGTGATGTTTATATTATTGCGAAAATTGCGACTAGATAGTAGTGTAAAAATAAAAACTCCCAATTAATTTGATAGAATTATTTGTTTCAGCTTTTCCTGATATAGCAATAATTAGTCTCACTTTTTTGTCAATTTTGTACTTCACTGTTTGATTTCATATGTAATATTGTCCTGAAGACGCCACGCTTGATGGCGAAACATGTCGACCAGAATAAACTCTTACCATGCGGTAATTGATGGGTGTTGTTGTCTTTATTATTATTGTTTTTTTTTGGTCAATTGTTCAACAATCTCAAAATTAAAGCATGCACAAATTTCTGATTAACAGTACTTGTGATAAGATTTTTTGGCTTCTTATATTTCTTAGAAGACATACATGCTTGTAGTATATACATGTAGCTATCATGTTAATATCACTTCAATTAATTTGAACATGAATTTTTTCTGCTTCTATAAGCATATATGGATTTATAATATTTTCTGCAATATTTATAAATTTATATGGAAACTCTGATAATCATTTGATCAGATTGCATTTGTATTGGTATTTTTTTTTAATTAAAACACTAATTTTCATTTTTTTTAAATCAAATATCGAGATATGGTTATGATTGGCAATGAGACATATATCTGAATGACATTCTTTTACTTGCTACAATTGAAAGAAGACTTGATAGGTTTGGGTCAAACTTATCAACATCTTGTCAAACATTAAGACATTATTGAATTAAAAAAGATTTTTTACCCATTGTAGTGAAAACTAAAATTATCAGTTCCCATTTACATGATTTATATGCCACAGAAAGTGAATCCATTTTTTAATCATTTACAATATACCATAGTAAAATGATAAAAAATTTATATCAAAACAGCACAATATTAAAATGTCATATTACGCCACTTTATGTGACATATTACACCTTTCTTTATTTTATTTGTTTTAGTGACATTAATTAATGTTTGACCAAATAATATAAGTATTGTTCAACTTGTTAGTTGAACAAATGGAAAATACAGGTGAAGGGATTCATTAGGTGCTAAAATAATGAGCTATAATATGTTGGAACTAAAGGTCCAAAAGCAGTTTTAATCTTTTACCTATAATGTCCTTCATCTGTCTTTGGAGGGAATATTTGGCTTCAACATGAAAGTGAAAGTTATTCATTTTAATGAGATGCCATTCAATGAAGTTCAGACCCCCCCCATTCCCCCCTCCCATCTTATAACATCTTGATTGCACTTTTCTTTGCTTTTTTTTTAAAACATGTATGAAAAAAATTACACAATAAAAATTATATCAACCACTATATATCAAAGTATGTATAAAAGGGAAACATCTTATGACATTTATTTTAAAACATGCAATACAGAAAACACCACTAGAACTAGGAACAGGAAATGAGGAAGAGGTTAGTAGGCCCGCTGCATTAAATATTGTTATACTGCATATAGCTTTATCAAATAATATCACTTCAGTTGAATATGTTGATCACAAAATGTAATAAAATATTAAAGATGGTGAAATGAGTTGATATCATAATTGTATAAAATACATCCAAGTGCTTTCTGTATTTATATTGACTTATATGCTTTGCATTAATGCAATTGCATGATTGTGATTCCAGATATCTATGCTTAAATTTGTGTATTCATGCCTGACCATTGATAAAATTATTATTGTTAAATGTTGTAAATTTCACTTCTGCAAAAGTGTATTTAAATCTTGGTGTATAAATTTACTGATTTCAAAACGAGACTGTTCTAATGAAAAAAGATATTGATATGTTCTACAAATCAATATCAAATTATTTCTCTGAATATTGCGAAAACTCGATCGTTTTCTGTGTTCAGTGGAATGAAGATATTTAGATCTCCAGTTTTGAAGGAATAAAACTTTTGTGAAATAATTATCTAATGGGTCAATGGAACTAAATGCTTATCATCAATTTTAACTGTGAAGCCAAATGATTTGTAACATTTATTATAGATAGTCTGTTGTTCATAACATCATCAGTATAAGTCTGCAGAACAATAAGAATTTGTATATTACTTAGTGGTTCTCTGGTTACTTGAAGAAACAAGAGTGACCTTCAAGGCTTAAACCTTATATCTTCTTTGGTACCAGTGTTGTTTATGGAAAATAATCTTAATCTTGAAAATACAGTAACTGCTCCACTCCTAGAAGATCACACTTTTGTAATATTGGCAAAGTAGACTTGAATTTTATTTTCCCTTCATAGATAACATGTGACAAGAATTTTAAGTGACAGAAAAAAAACAGGAGGTATTATTCGATAAAATTGATACTTTGTTCCTCTTTGGATGGAAATTCTCTCTCCTGTTTTTCAGTGAATGAATGAAAGAATTTCAAAAGAAAATTCTGATATTTCTTTCTTGTCTTATTGGCTTGTATAGAAATACAGAACTTCTGTTACAATATGTTTATCCTTATGGAAATTTTCCTGGATACTCAGAAAAAATCAATAGCCTAATATCAGTTACACTTAAATGCTTTAAATGGTAGAAATTATTGGCTTCGAATATCCATATTATAATAAGGCTTTATTAATTTGTGTATATTGGGATTTTTATTGTAATGGATGGGTAATATGTATGTTAATGCTTTATCTACTGTATCCAGAATAAAGCACAGAGTTGGTTAAATGTGCCGATTTGGAATTGCTTGATTTCTCACACATTTAAATTTATACTCAAATATATTACATTAATTTTAATTCAGTATTTTTGGTTCATTCACCATCAAATAAAGTGATGTTAGTAAGAGATAAATATCCTTCTTTTGTGCATTTGTTATGGTATAAAATCGGGACATCTTCTTTGTTTTTCAAGGTCATTTGATTGACTTGCATAATGTCATTTTATTACAACTTTTATATTGTCATTTCTTTTTCAAGCACTCATTATTACTTTTGCATGTCAGAGCAATTGTTCTTGAAGTCTTGATGTATTACTGATAAACTTCATCAGTTTTGTTGGCATTTTATAGCCAAAAAAGATCCCCGATTGTTATTGAAACAACAAAATAGTGCTTTTAAACTTGGATGGGAGGCGTAGGTCACACCTGAACAGAAAAGTAAGAAGGAAAGAGAGAGAAATAATATATATAATCAGAGTTAAAAATGGGTAAAATTGCTTAAAAACACAATTACTAGAAAAAAATAGAGGAAAAATTTAGGAACTGATAGAACTAGTTAAAGATACAGGAATTAAAATAGATTACAAATGTAGTAATTGCTAGAAGAGGAAATGTTTTAAGAATTATAAGAAATGTAAGAACTGTAAAAATCTTGGAATGGAAAAATGAGAACACAAGAATTAGATTTTGAGGAATATATACTGCTGCTTAAAATGTTATTCATACCTCTCTTTTTAATTTCATACCTCTCATTTAAATTTTATCATTAGTAAAATCAATGGAATAAAAATCCTCAAAATCTTGAGGGTCATGTGTTTACTCTTATCTACTTGTATAACTGAATACAAAATGTTAAATTTGTAGTGATAATGGATGTTTAGGCCAGTTGTTTGTGCCATTTTGTATTATGTATTTAATTTTGTTTGAAAGGAAATAAGGTTTGAAAAAAGAGCAATTTACGTGCCCATAATTTTTTTTAATAAATAAAACTGTACATTATGTATATAGTCATGGATCATTTCCTTGTTAGAATATTCATTCATTCCATACTGGTTAATAACAATTTCATGTCAATTGTGATCAATTTTTCTGAGATTTGATTTCCATTCCTTTAAGTTAACTTAATTGATTCAGTAAAAAATTCTTTGACAAATATTTTTCTGAGATTTGATTTTCATTCCTTCATTGATTCAAGTATAAGATTCTTGACAAATACTGTGATAGACTTTTCTCCAAAATTGCTGTAGCATATAGAGAGAGAAAAAAAGCATGTAGTAATTGACAGTGAGTTTTATTACTTACCATACATTACTGTATACCTGTCAACATTGATTGTTTATTTACTATGAATAATACACATTTACTGTCAAATCATCTCACTGTTACTTGTAAAATATCACAAACTTTTGCTAACATTATTACCTGATGTACATGGCATCTAAAATTCTTCAGCTTTATTCATTTATTTAAAGATTTTTAAAGATTTACAAATTAAATATATCCTATACTCAGGAAAAGATTTAAATTTACATGTATGTTAGAGATAATCTGTTTTGATGAAAGGGAAATCAATTTTGATTTTTCACAACTTGTGTGTGACATAAACTCCCACAGCCTCGACATATGAAATGAACTGAAAAACTGACCTTAATGATACATTTTTTGATGAACAAGAATTTTACCTGAATGATGCAGGTAAATTGTATATTTTTTAATCATTTTTATTGAAGTTAAATCTTGTGACTATAATTTTTTCTTTGTAATTTAGATTATCCCAGACAGACAAGATAAAAGTATGCAAAACTACAGATATTAAGATATACACCCTTTTCTGATTTGAGTTGAATCATGTACATATATGTAGGTGTAGGTTGTAGGTTTAAATGACATATATTTATTTCATGTTTACTTTGCAGATTTAGACTTTTGATCTCATTTAACCCCATGGTTATTTTGATTGCATAAAATATTGACCTTAAAAATGCTAATTATGTTTCCATAATAGCCTTCAAATTTCAATAAACAATACATTTTTTATATGAACATCTCCAATAAAAAAATGTCTGCTGTGAAATATTTTAAACCAAAGGTAGGCCAGCAGCTTTATATTTTAATGTATTCAAGACATTTGATTGCTTTGTTTTAACCTCTTTCAATCTGTATTTGATGGACCAGTCACTATATTAAAAATCTTTTTCTTCGTATTTTAGTTTAAAAGAAAAACTTGATTATTGTCATAAATGTTTACCCCATGAGGGTTCAATTGTACCAGATTTTTAAAAGAGGAATCTTCCCTCTTGTCTCTGCAAATATTCTATTTAATATATTATTTAATTATGAACAAGCAATAGAATCTAACTGCAAAATGCATGCATCAATCATTAAAGATAAAATAAGGGTATGTGATTAAATTGACAACTAGAAAAAGTCAAGGACATAAGCAACAAGGATGTCACTGTTTATATAAAGATAAAGTTATATGCCTTCAATCATAAAATAAGAGCACTGGAATGAACTTTTATCGATAAAAATTCCAATCTTAAGAAATATAGGCATCAGTTAGAAATCCATCAGATTTCATTTGTAAATATCAGCAGAAAAGATTTATCCTGACAGAATAACTGAATTTCTAAAATATTCTTGTGAATTTTCATTGTTCACCTTTTATAATGACTGTTTTTTTATTTAGATTTCTATTGTATTAATAATGTTTTGAAACAAATAAATGGGAAAATTCCTGTATAAAATGTTAAAAAAAGATATTTAAAACAAATCAAAGTATTATAAAAAATCAAATTTCATGTATAAGAAGCACTGCAAATCATTTGGAATATATACATAAGACATTTTTTCTAAAGTAGATAGTAAGTTATTGTGATATAGGTCTGATGTGAGTGTACCATAGTTATCATAAAGTGTCAAGTGTTGAAAATGTCTTCCCAATTAGGCTAAACAATAAAGTATGTGTGTTTGTTGTTTAAACCTGAAGAAAATAGGGTAGGTATGGTAGGAATTGTTTTTATTTTGTTCAATTGTTTTATCTTGAATGTATGAGGCAATTTTGTCACAATTCACTACCAAAAATACAAATAAAAGCTTCAATATAGGTAATTTGTGTTCTAAACAACAGTATTTTTTCTTTTACCTTATAATAAAAAGAGATATTATTAAAATTTATAATATCAAATACAAAAATGATAATAGTAATCAAGTTAAATATAGTTTTTGTTGCATTCAATTCACATTTTTGTACCTCCTTCAACAGGAATTCTGGAAATAGGAAATTGGGACAGTCAAAAACATTATAAATAATTAAATTGAGCCTACAATTTACCTTTCAATAAAAATAGTAGAACAACAAATTTGTTATAGAATGCTGTAATAGGCTAAACATTTCTTTGTGTCCACACTAATTTTGCTTTGCTTTACTGTAAACAGAGTTTGGCAACAAACGAAACAACTCATTATGGAGCAGTTGATGACAAAGTTGAACTGTTAACAGAAGACAAAACGGTATAATTTGCATGTAAAACTCAACCCAGCTTTTCTACAATATCATTTAGACTAATATCACTTATCTGTTTCATCTCTACAAATATCATTTTATATTTTATTTGGGAATAGTTTATTTTTTATCAAATTTTTTCTTTAGATACACCTAATAGATTATTTAAGATACCACTAAACTTTTTTTTCAGTCACACAAAAGGTTTTCCCGTACTTGTTTCATGGGTCTGCATCAGAAAACACTTTTTGTCTGTTTTACTCACACTCTAAATATTGGTACAAATGTAGTAATTCTATAGTATACCAAAAAATTTACAGCTACAACATTATCCATATCGGAATCTTTCCTATGACATAAAATTAACTCGAGTAATGGATGTTATATACAAGTATGCTACAAAGTACTTGTTAAAATTCAGGGTTTGTAATGTACATGTATATTGCATGGGGAATCGCTTATCTTATCTTATCTTATATGGTTTGTGCACAAATATTGAGAAAAAATAGATAAGCCATTTGATTGTATATTATAGGTATAGGTATTGTATGATATATAATATAATCTTGTATGAAAGTTAAAACATCCGAATCTTATATAGTTCTATATTAATTTAGCATTTTATTTTAAAATACTTCTATTATATGAAATGACAAGCTGCGTCCATGAGAAGATGTTCATTTTAAAGCAGAAATTATATTATAAAGGCTTCTATTCATTATATATGCATTGCTTGCATCTGTACTCAATGGTTTTTCATGCTATTCAGGTTAAGCTTGGCCATGCAACAAACAGCAGCAGCCAGCACTGCACATATTGAAAGAAACCTGCATGGAATTAGATTAGAATAAAATTAAGAAGTTCTCCTGTAGTGAATCTATATCCGTTTCTCAACTGATGTGTCCCCTTTATCCCCTTTATTTATTACCACAAAAATGCCCTCCAGAAGTGCTCTCATTGGCAACTTTCAAAAAGTTGCTTTTAAGTGTTTAGAATGGAAATTTTAATATTTGAATTTTGAATATCTATATATACTGCAGCTGTGCTATTTGCGCAGTCAAATTGCATTGACCGTATATTCATTTGTGATATACAGTCACTGACCGTATATTGCCTTGTTTATGAGTCATTGACGTTGACAATGCCTTTCCGTAGAGTTTTATTTATGATGTCAATAAACAATACAGGTTCGCGGAAATTTAATGTTGTCCGCTCCACATTTAAAAAAGTATTGTTTTTGCCCTAAATTTTTCATTTGGAACAATTATAGGAGTTGCAGTATATAAAGAATAACCATACATTGTCTAGTAATATAAATTTTATTTGTACTCTGCTCAAAACAGGATAGAAATGCTCAGGAAATCCTCGCTTTCTACCTGTTTCTAAGCCTTGTACAAATAAAATTTATATTTTGAGACAATGTATGGTTATTCTATATTTATTGTTCTGAGTGACATTGTTTCCACTCAAAACCATTAATCACCACTTGAAGGTTTCTCTTGAGTGTTGACTCATTGTTCTAAGAGGAAACATTTGAGTGTTGATTCATTGTTCTGAGAGGAAACATTTTTTTGAGTGGAATCATTTGAGTGTTGATTTATAGTTTTAAGTGGAATAATTTGATTGTTGATTCATTGTTCTGAGTGGAAACCTTTGAGTGTTGATTCATTGTTCAGAATGGAATCATTCAAGTGGTGAATCAGTGTTAAGGCAAAATATTTCAGTGGTGATATACTGATAAAGGTTTTCAGTGGAAACAAATTGATTAGATGACTTTTAGCAACATACAGTCATTTTTAATACACAATTCATTTTTTGATCCATCATTCACTATCATTGTTTGATAGGAAAGCATTGATTTCTGTCACCTAATAAAGGGAGGACTCCATTAGAAAAAAAGATCTTTAATGATTTGAATTTGATTTTTTTCCAGGTTTGAATGCTTATAAGCATGTCTATATAGGGGCTATTTTACTTTTCAGTTGAATTGGTTAATATTGTTTCATGTTATTAAAATTTCTTCTTTACTATGTTGACAGAAATTGAATGTAACTGAAGATGATAATGAAGATTCATCACTATTACAATCAAAAAGTCCAAAGAAGGTGAAATTGAAAGTAGCATGCACAAAGTGAAAGTAGAAAGCTTGCCTTTAAATGTTGTATGTTTTGGTTGGTCGTATATATAATCATACTAACATATTTACTCAAAATTGTGTCAAAAATTCTGAAAAAAAAAAAAAAAAAAACCACCTTGGCCACCTGTTTCAATAGATCATGCTTTTGATATTTCTCTTATTTTCTTTTTTTTTCTTTTAATCTATTCTATTTTAACAAATATAACAAGTATTTTTTTCAAAACAGTTTTTGTAAAAAAGACAGAAGAACCTTTCAATAGATTTAACAGTTTTGTTTCATTTACAGTAAAACCTTTGTTGCCAAACCATTTATATTTTCCTGCTTATAGATAGTATACTACATGTATTTAGAAAAAAATTGGTTCCTTTCCTTGAATCTTTTAAAGATTGTCTTTTCCCGTACCTTAATTCGTGTTTTCCTGTAAACAACATATTTTTCATATTCCTGCTACATACACAAGTATAGTTGTCACCTGAGGTTTACATTTATGATGGTATAATGATGGAGTCAAAAATAAATTATTTGTTCATAATTATGAAAAAAGAAATAGGAAGAAGAATCAAGACCACATGTATGTTTTTGATATCCATATGACAAATTTGTCAATAAAAATAGCCCTTTATGCTTTATGGTAAAGAGCATCATCACCTTCATTTGTCACATTCTTTCAAACCCTCATCTTTTCTTAATAAGTATATGTAAGCAGAAATAGTATCTAGTATTCAATCGTATAAAGATTTAGGTATCTTATTTTATATGTTCATATATATATATATGACGGTACCATTTTGAAGTTACTGTTATTGTAAATGAAATGACACATGTTATTATATTGAATGCATTTTGTTGAGGGGAGTATATAAATGGTATGCATCTAGCTTAAATTTTGTCATGAAATTTGCCTTTGCTTTACTGAAGGGTTGTTGTGAAAGTTGCCTTTTGCTTTGCCTAAGGGTTGCTGTATATGCCATTATACCTTTTGTAATCTACATCAATCTAACACACATTAAAATGCTATTTATCTATTTCCATGACATTTAGTTCATTATTCAATACATTTCTGTTTGATAGATAAACCATTTTTTATTTGGAAAAAAAACCCATTTTCAGTGATTTTGAAGAAATTTAGAGAACTTTTCAGAGAATGGTACATTGTTCAAGATTGTAATTTTCCCTTTTGCTATGGGCCATCTTGTTGTGAAGAGTATTTTAGCTTTTACCCGCTCTTTAAAAGTAATTAAGTAACAGTCTGAAGTAAATTTATACATTTGTTCAGGGACATTTGGTTAAGGTAATATTTATTGCCAAAAAGACACCAAAAGAGCAACACAGGAATAAAATAAACATCTAGAGGTTACAGTTATGTGTGTTGTTGGTAAGCTGTCTCATTGACATTTCACCAAATACCTGTCCACATGTGATATAAATCAAACAAAACATGCTAAAAAGCAGATATTTCTAATGGATGTTTGTTACTTAATATGTCTAAATAGTGATTATTTACTTAAATGAAATGTGTAAGGAAACAGTAATTTCCTGTGTACATACAAACAACTGTACTTATATACACAGTTTAATAATGAGCACATATATACCATTTACCAAGGTAGGACTGTTTGTACTCTTTCCAAGAGAATGAAAACTCTCCAAATTTAATGTTTTATTAGGTCTCTTTATTCTATGTATTTGAAAATGAAGAATTAAAAGAGTCAGAATTAAAGAAGGTTACTTTGACTAAATCAGGAATAAGGGATAACATAATTTGTTTGGTGCCTCTTTTGATTCAGGGTTTAAAGATGACATCCGTTACTCTTTTGATTCAGGGTTTAAAGATGGCATCTGTTACCTTCTTTTGTAATTTTATTACATTTGTACTAGTAAAACATTTTGGTTTGTGAAAAAGATGGTATTAGTGTTGGCAGGAAGTGGAGGCTTACTTTGTGTCAAAGAGACAACAACCCGACCAAAATGCAGAAAGCAGCCCAATTTAGGCCAACATTTTCACTTAAGTGCTTTAGTTTTCAGGTTACCATATCAGATTACTATAAATTTTTCATAAATTCGGTATCCTGAAGAGTCTTTTCACATCAGCTTCTCAGGTCTCTCAAAGGAACCTTACCCACACAATTTGAAATCCAGTTCCATATTTTTGTTCATTCCTATTTCCTGAACCTCTGTACTTAAAACAGCAATTATTTTTAAGCTCTGATACAGATGGCTTAATTTGCAATAGCAGTTTAATGATGTTCAAATCTTGCAAAATCAATTTTGAATATACAAACCAAGATATAAGAAACTGAGAAAAAACCATCAGAGGGCTTTCTTTGATTAAATGCATAAAAAAGACCAAAAATCATTCAAGCTAGTAACCCATCAGAACTTTGTAATAAATGCTGATCTAAAAAACAGAGAGAGAAAATGGGAAAAGGTTTCACTTATAATTACAAAATGAATTTTAATTTTTTTTTTATCTTTAGTTGATACGTAACTAGTAGTTTTTAACACAGTACATGTATAACTATGATTTAACATGTATATAAATAACCCTTAAATCATATCCTCGGTTATGTATCATTGGATCAACATCCTTTACAAAAAATGGAGGAATTTTTACAATTTTACGAAAAAAATGATTGTCACAATGAGAAGGTTTGTGATTTTCAATGGAAAGAATTAATTGTGTTAAAAAAAAAAATTTGTTTAAAGCTTTATGATTCTTTAAGTATATGGTAATATGGTTATTAAGTTTCCTATGTACTTTAATTATGTAATTGATCAAATCTGATGAAATTAATGTAAGAAAAGATGGAAAGATCCCATGAAAACTGGGATCGAGGTAACCTACAGTATATCAGTAGAACCAATTTCAG